GATCTAGTAGTAGTGGTAGTAGTTATAGTAGTAGTAGTAGTAGTAGTAGTAGTAGTAGTAGAAGTAGTAGTAGTAGTAGTAGTAGTAGTAGGCGCCCCCATCCCCGACCAACGACAGTTGCTCTAAGCCATTTAACAGCCCCTGACCCTGGCCACAACGTAGTACTACCAGCTCCGACAGTGCGATCAGAGCAACAATGCCACCAGGCCTCATGTAGGTGAAATTTTACTCGCCCGGATGCTGACGCGTCAGGATGCGAGAGTCTTGAGTCGATGCTATCTAGCCGAACCTTGCATCTGTGCATCCAAACGTGTCGTGTCAAGGTCCTTTTTGTCACGCACGTCGTGGGCCGGCTGATGAGGCAGCGGATTGTCAGATTTGGAGTGGGGGGTTTTGAGGTTTGTGCACGGGCGGTGCGGGTAAACCTAAGGCCTCAGACTGACCCAGACGGTCGTACCAAAGACATGCTTTGTCTGCGTCTTCTATCGTCCAAGAATTGCAGGGTTGGGCCCAGGCGGTCGGACCTCCCTCGAAGGTCTCCCCACCTTCGACTCGAGTAACTCTGTGTAGTAAGCCTGACGGTACTGATAGTAAACGTGTACAATAACATGCAAACCTGCAGGCAAGCCCGCAGCTGTCGAGGCCTGTCCGCGTCCACGACCCAACGCGCGAGCACCCCATGCCGCGGGTCGCGCACGAGGCAAGGACGAGGTTCAGTTAGGAGTTTGTGTGAGCATTCAGGATTGGGCAATTGCAGGTTCACTCTACGACCACTACGACTAAACGATAGGACTACAGCAATTACTACTTACTACTGCCAGTAGAAGCCAAAGGAGCAGGGGGAGAAGGATTTGTATGTGTAGCACTGTCATCGGCCCACAGTCGCCTTTTCAGGACCGGGCAGCTCGCGACCCAAACGCCGACAACGGCTGAACATTGGCTTTTTGAGTGCTCGGTTCTCTGCGGTTCAGGGCACGAGGTGGTGGGTTTAGGGAGTGGCATATAGGGCGGTGCTTCCTTCTGCCGCTCTTGGGAGTGTCCGGGATCTGGAGATTGAGAGTTTCCTTCACTTCGCACGTTGGCCTCGAGAGCTTGTTCCTCCTCGTGCTTCGCAGCTTGTGGTCTAACCAGGTGTGAAGGTACCCACACACAGCTTGGAGCCCCTCTTGCTCCTGAACCTTGCAAACCCTTTTCTCTTTCCGACCTGTTCTTGCGTTTGGCTCACGACGGGCAGCTGCGATCAAATCCGCAGTGCCGGGCGCTCAGAGGGAACAGTACTGCAGCCACAAGCTAATCAGTGCTGCTCGCTTTTTGTTGAACTCGCTCGTGTGTACTTTTGTGCTTTGCCACTTCGAGTTGCAGTCGATGACATCTTCTCTGCTTCGTCGTAGATCTGTGGCAAGAAGCAAGTTGCTTGGCCTGCCTGCCTCATGCATCCTCGCTGGATAGCACAGACCATTCAAGCTCGAAGAGCACCAATCCTTGCCGCAGCTCATCGGATTTCTAGGAGCATTGCTCGAAGTCCATGTCGACCGAGATGCTGGGTTCTTCTGTTTCCAGCTCACTGAACGCAGACAGGGTTATGAGTGTTGAGCGCTGGTAGCTGCCTTTCAGCCGTGAGCGTGAGAGGTCTGTTGGGCGCAGTGGTGACAGGCCATCCGACAGGCCTGGCGTCGTGTCGAGCTGACGTTGAGGCATGCAGTCCTCGAGCTTTTGTTGTGAACGGCTTGAAGCATCTCCCGCTGTGCTGCTCCAGTTCATGCCTAGGCTGAGATAGCACGACGATCTCTCTGGGGAGATTTTTGGGGCTGCCATGGCGCGCCTCGCGTTCTTCGCGCTGTCTCTGTTCACCTTCCACTTTGCAGTTACCGCCTCGGAGCCCTGCTCCGACGACTCCTGTTTGGCTTCCGAGCCGGCCCGTGGCTCTGAGCTCCTGCAGCGCTCCTCCTCGAAGACGCTGAAGGAGGGAGCTCCCGGTCCCGAAGCCCTGCTGAGCTACGAGGAGCTGGAGGGCCTGGTGGAGCAGTCCTTCGCCCGGGCTCGGGAGCTCGGGAAGCGCAGCAAGCTGGTGATCGAGAGGAGCTTCAAGTCCTTCGATTCCTCGCATTACAAGAGCTTCAAGAAAGAGCTCAGCTGCATGGCGAACGTGGAGAAGGGCTTCGACCACTTCGTGGCCCGGTCTGCGCTGGATCAGGAGCTTACGCCGCTGGAGCTTCAGGACTTCCGTGCGCGGGTCATCGAGGAGATGGAGATCCTGTGCAAGCACGATGCGGCCGACGGGCACGTCAACTACATGCAAGACTTTATGCAAGCTTTGGAGGACGAGCGGCCTCTCTTGACTCAAAGGCTGGAGGAGATCTTGCAAGAACAGTACCATGAGGTGAGCTTCGAGTTTGCCGAGTGGCTGGCCAACTTCTCCAATATCGACCTCCAGCACCGCACCGGCAGCCACCCGCCTCACGAGAACCGGACCCTTCTGCTGGAGACGAGCCGGAGCATCGTGGAGCGCATGAAGAAGCGCACTCTGCCCGCCAACTTCGACGCCCGCAACCATTGGCCCGAGTGCGGCGAGATCATCGGCCGGATCCACAACCAAGGTGCCAAGGAGTGTAGTCGTAGTCTCTCGCGGAGTGGGTTCCAGAGAGCGAGAGTGCAAATTCTTGTCAGGTCAGTGCGGAAGTTGTTGGGCTTTTGGAGCATTATCAGCCGTGGACAGCCGCCTCTGCATCTCCACTAACGGTGCCCTGGACAGAAAGACGCCTGCCCATCGAAAGCAGGGAGGTACAGGGAAACCCCCACTGGCATTCGGTAGGTTGTCCGGGCAGAAGAGGCGGAAGAGGCAGAAGGAGTCGCAAAGAGAGAGGAGAAGAACGCAAGAGAGTACACAAGCGAGAGAGAGAGAGAGAGCTTCGATGATCTCATTTGGCGTGACACCCTGTCTTTTGTATCGTAGTTGGAGAAGTCATGTTGACCTCCGTAGTTTGAGAAGCTCATGTGTCTGAGGGGACAGGAGTGTTGCCTGTCGAGGTCTTTTCAGTGGCCCCAGTGCACAGATCGCCCGTGGCTTCGTGACCTCCTGCACCTACGCAAGCCCCCGCGATGGCTGTTCAGGAGGTTGGCCCAGTGACGTCTTCAGGTCCCGGCCTCAGCGGTGATCTGTGGTGCCTTGCTGAGAGTACGAAAACTACAGGGCGGTGTCATGAGGTTCTTGGACCAAAGTGGATCCCCCACCGGTGGCGACGCCGGCTGTTCGCCCTACTTCGGGCACGGTCAGGGTACGGACCACTTCGCCCAGACCTCCACAGCACCCCCGTGCCCGACAGAGTGCACAAACACCGGATTTTCCAAGACCTTGCACGAGGATAGCTTCAGTCTGGGCCTCAGCAACTACTACGACCTCGACCTCATGAGCCACCCTCTGCCTGCCCTGGCCTACCAGCTGATCCGGGAGGCGATCTTGGCAGGCGGGCCTGTACCCGCAGCCATGATGGCCGATGGGCCTTTCATGGCCTACTCCAGTGGGGTCTACACGCATTCGTGTGACATGTCCCCGAATCATGCGGTGACCGCCATCGGCTGGGAACCCGACAGCTGGATCTGCCTGAACTTGGGCCGCAAGTGGCAGTGCGTGCTCTCTGAAGTCCCTTCTCCCCAGCATGGTTTAATGAGATTTTTAAGAAGTGGCGAGCTGTTCAGCCGTGCCGAGGAACTCGTGGGGGCCACACTGGGGCGAGGGCGGAAGCTTCCGCGTGGGCTTGTGCGTGTTGACGCACGTCAGCATCCCAACGATGAGCATGGCTGGCAGCAGCGCTGCCTACGGCTTCCCTTTAGCTGGAAGCACCGAAACCCCAGCACCGGGCTTGAATCCTGCAGCTCGTTATCCCAGCGTGGATGCGGCCATTGATGCTATGACAGCCGTGACCGTCAACAGGGGCTGCAAGTGCTCAGACACCTGCGCCACAAAGTCTTGGGATCCCGACCCAGTCCCGTGGTGCTTCGTGCAAGACTCCGTCTGTCAGGGCACCAACTGGGGCTACTGCGAGTATCAGGATGCTAGTGCACCCGCCACCACTACTACTACCACCACGACGACCACCACGACCACCACCACGACCACCACCACGACGACCACCACGACTACCACGACTACCACGACCACCACGACTACCACGACCACCACGACGACCACGACGACCACGACCATGGCCACCACGACGACCACAGCCTCTTCAGGCAAGAAGCCATGGAAGCTGGTGAAAGGCCCCTGCAGCGTTGATGCGGCAGGCTGCATCATGAGCCGGGACTATGGAGGCAACAACATGTACCGCAACTTTGAAGAGTGCGAGTTTCACGTGGAGGATAAAGCATCGATGGAGGTACTGGATTTCAACGTGGAGGGATATGACTACGACTACCTCGAAGTGAACAACGAGAAGTTCAGCGGAGACAGCACTCCCCATGGAAAAGTGCCCGAAGGAAAAATTGAGTGGTCTTCCGACTACAGCGTGGTCCATTATGGTTGGAAGATTTGCCCAAAGCCGGTGCCAATACCGGTACCCGACGGTGAGATGTTCACCACAAAAGATTGCCTGTGCAAGCAGAAGTGGAGGTACTGGGGCGTTGACATCGAAAGCTATTGTGGTAACCCGGACAACGACGCCAATGGCGACTGGTGCAGGGTGGAGGACAGAGCCTGCCAGGGCACCTGGTGGGGATACTGCAAGAAGCCGTAGTGACCTTCTGACTATGCAAGTCCTCGGATGCACAAAAGAAGAGAGCATGCTGCAGCTTACTCTGTGCCGGACTCTGGGAATAGGAGCCTTGCACCTTCTCAGGTGGAACACCGCCACTCGTCGCCTGCACTCAGCACCCGTGCAAGGTTCTCGGGGGTCTGCAGCAAACATCTATCCGTAAGTAAGACTCGACTCTGTTGGTTGCCAGCAATCTTATTGCAGCAGCTACACCGCCCTGTACCGGCTATCATTGTTACAACTACAGGTTGAAATTCTGATCCTTGTTGTTGCTGCAGATCTGTCTGTTTCTTTCCGGGATGGCTAGCCTTGCTGTCCAGAGTCCAGAATGGAAAGGAGATAGGATGAGGACAGGGCATCTGGCTGAGGTCACAATTCCGTAAGTCAATGTGTGCCTGGAGTGAGCATGTTGTCTGCCAAAGCGCAAAGTGCCAGTAGATGTGGGGAGTGGCAGTCTGCTATTGTTGCCACACAGTGACGACGACTACCATTCCCAGTGACTCTCTCACTGCCACCGCGCTACTACTGCAGTTAGTAGTATTGGTGACAAGCATCAGCGTATCTCAGCGCAGCTTCCACCAGGGCTTCCTATAAAAGTGACCCTATTATAGAAAACTCTAAAGTACCCCTTAAAAGGGAACTTATTACAGAGGCATAAGACTTCTAAGCCTTCTAAGCCCTACGCCCCAAACTCTACACCCTAAACCCTAAACCCTAAACCCACTTCAGCTTGACGTTTATGGAAGTCCAAAAGCCCAGAAGCCTCAAAGACGCTTGAGGTCCTCGCTTTGAGTGGCATAGAAAAGCTGCCTTTCGGCCTACGAGCGGTTTGAAGCATTGCATCATGTTGATTTTTTTATTGTTATCGTTATTTTTATTGCTATCGCTGTTGTTATTATTAGTATTATTATTGTCATTGTGATTGAGTTACTATTCCTATTACTGGTATAAGTATGTTATTGGTATTAATAATTACTATCATTATGCAGTTTTGCAAAGCCCCAGCATATCAGGAGAAGGCAGCCCTAAATCCTAAGCCCTTTAAAAACCCCTAAAGCCCTAAATCCTACACCCCAACACACTTGGGAGGTTTGCTTCCTTTGGTCTGTTCGTCTTCGGGACCGAGTTGCAGCCCTTGTGCGTAGCTTTCATGGGTTGAGGGGTTAGGGTTTAATCCCCAGCCGCCCTTCTCTCAACTTTGCAAGCACAGTTGTCTGCCTTTCCTGGCCCAAGACGGGACCGCTTGTGTTTCGGCGCCCATCCCTCTGTCACTGAACCTGTCTTTATCCCCGCGCCGCGCAGCCCAGCGCAGCGTCGGGAGCCCAGATCAGATTAGGTTTCTGTTCTCGGGTTCTGGCTCGGTGCGATTGCCTTGGGCTCCGAGCATGCGGGAAACACATCAGTTGGAAGAGTCCGACCGCCACTTCAGCTGGTATGACAGTTTGCGTAGAAGTTCTCGTTTCGGTGCCCTCAACAAGCAGTTTGCTCTTGATTTCATTGAGTGCTTGCTCGAAAGGTCTTCATCTGAGCGAAACTCCACGGCATTGCAGCACAGATGGCGGGCCAGAACCAGGACATCTTTTTCCAGGGCCTCAAGCCAGAAAACACTTGCTTCAACGCGCTTTTCTCTAGTGATTCTAGTGACTCTAGTGATACATAAAGTGGCCAAGTGGTATAGTGCGCAAGTTTCGCAGGGCATCCAAAGGCCAAAGTTCCACGGTGTTTTGTAGCGAGACTGCTTGAGCAGGGGGTCCCACGATGTACGTGCTTCCTCTTCATTGCGGCGATCACATGCGGCTTTGGCATGTTTTCAAGATCCGATCCACTGCCATGTCTTCACCCTCAACCCTAACCCCTAAGCCCAGAAAGAATCCATTGATCAGGCCATTCCTTGGTCCTTTTTGGTAACATCTCCACCGCGCTGATGCTGAAGGACCTGGGTTCGCCGTGACCTCAAAAAAGCGGGATAAACTAGAATTGTCATCACAGTCGTAGCAATCGGTAGTATTTTTGATAAGACGCAGGCTGTAGCAAGACAAAGCACATTCGAAGGCGTATGTAACGATGGTTTCTAGCCTAACACGTGTCGGCTGTTGGTCAAGTGTGCACTCTCATCTCCGGCCCGTTCTGAGATGCGGTGAGTGTCGTCCAATGGCTTCTTGAGAAGTGAATGGTTGGCGTGCAAAGGCTGACTAAGCCAGTGACTAAGCCCTAAGTTTCTTTCGAGCTTCGGATGTTTCGGATGTGACCGTCGAGAGGTCCCTGCTGGACTGTCAGGTTGCATGGGAACTGTGGGCGACATGTGGTTTCCAGGGCCAATCTGAGAGAAACTTTTGTCTCACATGTACAATATACGCACGCACAACTCCCTCCCTCTGTCTCTTTATGTTTGCAGAGGCATACGCATACAGACAAGAAATGCACCTACAGATGGATAGATGGATGGATGGATGGTTAGGTAGATAGCCAGGCAGGCAGGTAGGTGGGTAGATGGATAGATAGCTCGATGGGTAGATAGATAGAGACAGATAGAGAGATAGATAGAGAGATAGATAGGGAGATAGATAGATAGATAGATAGATAGATAGATAGATAGAGAGATAGAGAGATAGATAGATACATAGATAGATCGATAGATAGATAGATCGATAGATCGATAGATCGATAGATCGATAGATCGATAGATAGACAGATAGATAGATAGATGCGTAGTGTAAACATAGATCGACGGCTAGGTGCGCAGGTAGGTAGGTAGGTTGGTAGGTAGGTAGATCGGTAGATGGATAGCCAGGTACGTATGTAGGTAGATAGATACGTACGTGGATAGAAAGGCCTGTGGGTCGATGATACAGAATCAAGGCCTTTTGAAATGGAAGCGCTGTTTGGACTCAAATCAATCTCGAACCGTTCACAGTAGCGGTTGAAGAAAGAACGGAAGCGTATCTGTCCTGCTGGCGAACCGCGACATCGTTTCGCGCACTCGTGAGATTTTACAGAGATGTACGATCCAGTTTAGGAGGGATGTCATGCAGGCCCCGCACAGAAGGTGGTTCACAGATCAATGTTCTCACATGTCAAAACCCGAAGCTTCGCTACGCCTGCTGACGCCTAGCGCGGGCTGTGCGAAGCCTTGACCCAGGTCTGCTGGCGGCTGGGGCAGCGTAGCCTTTAGCGTGACGTGCGCCCCGCACTGGGTGAATTGCTTGGGTTTTGTAGCCGGGTTCGGATATATGGAGGAATACATGAAGAGCCAGTTCGTGTGGGCAAGTTGCCGTTTCGTTGCAACGTCGTGTACTGGAAAACTCGCTTTGTGAAGGTGCACTACGGTTCAGGGAGCTCACCGTACGATGATTGCGGTTCTGAGCCTTTACACCGGGGGCTTGGGGAATGCAGGGTACAGTGCAGTGGGATCTAGGTTGGGTTTCGGTGCTATTCATGTTGCTCGCGGATCTTCGTGAGAAGTCCACGCAAACCTAACGCTGAAGTCCAAAAACACACCAAACCCTATAAACCCCAGAGCCTAAAGCCTCACAGTGCTAAACTCCTAAGTCCCAACCTTCGAAACCCCAAGCCCCGAACCCCAAACTGAACCCTAAACCCTCGAAGCAATTAACCCTAAACCCTAAACCCTCAAAGCAACTGGTGGCGCAAGTCTGGGTCACAGGCATGCTCTCGACACAGAGCTGAACCCAGCCATGGCGCAGGCCAGAATTCTTCTTCTTCTTCTAAGAGTCGTCGTCGTAGTCGTGGTAGCAGTAGTAGGAGGAGGAGGAGTAGTAGTAGTAGTAGCAGTAGTAGTAGTAGTAGTAGTAGTAGTAGTAAGTGTCTCGGCCCGAGAATTTTTCATATCTTTCCGGGGCCCTTTGCATGGGAGCGACCGCGACTC